TGTGTGTGTGTGTGTGTGTGGACTGATCAGCAGCAAATGTCCAATTCCAGGCCAGCTACCATGAGGCTGCTTGACCCATCCATTCTTTAGTAATTTAGTTTTAGTAATGAACTAGAACCACAGAATCTTCAAACAGGAAAATGTTTCACAAATGATCTAGTTTGTTAGTTTGACCTTTTGGGCATCAAGGATACCTTTGAAGATCTGATGTAGAAATGATCCCATAAACATGTCTCAGCAAAACCAGCACCTTCACTAGGAACTTGGGAAACCCCAAACTTGTAAGGAGAACCCTATGTCCATCTAAAACCTCCACCTATCTTCATGTCCATGTCAACATCCCCTCCAGTCAGAAAGGCTTTATCTTCTTTCCTGTGGCAGTGAAGTCCAACTCGCCAAGATTCTCCCAGACGTTTTTGTACCAGGCCTCAGGCCCTAGGAAACTCTATTTCCAGAACTGATTCCTGGAGTTTTTCTTGCATTTTGACTGAAGCTTCTACCCAGGAGAATTGAGGCTTGGGTGTGAACTAAAAGGACTAATGAAGGACAAGTGCTAAAACTAGCTCTTGTCACACAGCATTGTGAATGTCCTTAATGCAGCTGAATTGTGCACTTAAAAGTGGCTTACAGCAGTAAATTCCATGTTTTCCATATTTATCACAAAAAAAGAAAGAAAATGGACTCTTAGGTAAGTCCCTCTCATAGCACCTTACTGTGAACATTGCTATCATAGTTTCAGCTCTGCACTGACTAGTGACCTGGTAAGAGCAAGGACATGCCCTAAGAAGTGGGTATCAGGGTTCATGGACTGAACGTGTGGTTGGTGCTGGAAGGAGAAGCAGAGGTGACTTTGGTCACCAGCTCCAGAGCAGCTATGGGCTCCCAAGAAGTTAGGGCAACTTTGTAGATGTCAAGGTCCAATTTGGCTCATATTAACTTAGAAAATACATTTTCTTTTGGAAACCAACAATAAGAAATGATATGAATTATCTCTCATATATTTGGAAATTAATGAGATATTCACTCAGATTTCAGAGGTCCTAAAACTAGAATGTATTCTTCAGTCTCCTCCTAATTTTCCCCATCACTCATCAGCACAACAATCCGCCCCTTTTCTGCCCGTTCCATAATAAGCTCAACCAGAGTGGTGGGGAGAAGAGAACCGAATATTTGCAATCTGAGGTCTTATCCTCAGACTACCAGCACACATGTTGCAGCCTATCAGCATCCATACCCGACTGAGGGACAATCCCCACTGTAGGCAATGGTCCCAGGTGACTCATCCTCAGCTCCTGGGAAAACTGTGGCTCCCTGTTTCTATGAGGCAGCAGTGTCTTAGGTCTCCCAGCGGCGCTCCATCTGTATTGGCATGCTGCCACATTGGGGCTCCTCTGTGAGGTGTGGATAATATTAGGCATGCAGGAGTCCTCCATCTCTCTTCGAGATCTGGCTTTCTGAGCTCATGTTGATCATTTTCTTTTCCTTTTTTTAACCCAGTGTTGTGGATAGAACCCAGGGTCTCATGCATGCAAGCATTGTACTACTAAGTTATACGCAGTCTGGTCTCCGAACTCCGTAAGGGTCTTGGTCCATGGGACCAGACCACTATTCAGATAATCTCCAACTTGCTGCTCCTGCTGCAAATGTACACATTTAGTCCTCAGAAAACGTGAGTGGCCTTGAGACTGATGAGTTAATATCTGCTAACTCTGTGAATGCTGGAGCTTAAGCCCTCATCTTTCAGCTGATGGGGAACAGGGATGCCACAAATTTAACCATGGCTGGAGAGCATCCTACATCCAATAAAGTACAGTGAAGGAAGAACACAGAAGCTTCAGGAGCCATTCCATCACCTCTATTCTTTAAGCCAATTGTAAGTAGCTTTTCCATACTTACAACATAAAAGTCCTAAATGTCAAGTTCAGCCTTCTACCACAATTATTCTGAGTTTTTAAGATTCTATTATGCACTCACTGTGCCCTCAGCCCCACCTTATGCGTCAGCAGCAATGTCTCCAACATCTCTTGTTCTTCGTGCCAAGTGCACATGGCCTGGCACATGGCAAGGACTCAGCTGTTCTGTCGTGAATAAAGAAATAAACCAGTTATGACAGAGAAAGGCCCTCAAAAATGCAGATGCTACACTAATGCATGAAAAGCTTTTGGGTAAACTGAGATTTAGGGGAAGCCACAGTCACCAATGAGCACACAGGAGGATGGAGGGCAGGGACAGTGCCCAAGACTGTTGCCCTTCATCTTGACTTGGGCTTCTGCCTTGGTAAACTCAGATTCATTAGGGCACCCACCTAGGAGCCTCTGCTCTCCACACTTCTTTGTTGAACTTCTGCTTAACATTCAACTGTTAGAGACAATAATAGAATGTCCTGAGGACAAGGTAACAAATGCACACAGACACACTATTCAGAATTGTTGCTAAACCTTAGCCTTGAAATCTGATGGATGTCAAAGACCCTAAAAACTCAGCATCTTCCACCAAGGCCCTGGATTCCAGCTGACTCACAGCTTCTGGGTTATCCTGAGAAAACTGCAAGTAGCACCTACAGCCAAGTCTTAACCTTTCCAAATCTCCCACAGCCCAGCAGCCTCCTAAACGCCTTTGCCACAATCTTGGACATCATCTGACCCCAGCCACGAGTACCCACAGCAGCTACCGGGTCCGGCATGGGCACCCTGCTCATCAACAAGGTGCGTGAGGAGTATCCAGACCGCATCATGAACACCTTCAGCGTCATGCCCTCGCCCAAGGTCTCGGACACTGTGGTGGAGCCCTACAACGCCACCCTCTCCATCCACCAGCTGGTGGAAAACACGGATGAGACCTTCTGCTTCGACAACGAAGCCCTGTACGACATCTGCTTCTGCACCCTGAAGCTCACCACGCCCACTTATGGCGACCTCAACCACCTGGTGTCGGTCACCATGAGCGGGGTCACCACCTGCCTGCGCTTCCCCGGCCAGCTGAACGCAGACCTGCGCAAGCTGGCGGTGAACATGGTGCCCTTCCCGCGCCTGCACTTCTTCATGCCCAGCTTCGCGCCCCTGACCAGCCGCGGCAGCCAGCAGTACCGCGCCATCTCGGTGTCCGAGCTCACGCAGCAGATGTTCGACCCCAAGAACATGATGGTGGCCTGCGACCCCCGCCAGGGCCACTACCTGACGGTGGCCTACATCTTCCGAGGCCGCATGTCCATGAAGGAGGTGGACGACCAGATACTCAACGTGCAGAACAAGAACAGCAGCTACTTCGCGGACTGGATTCCTCACAACGTGAAAACCGCCGTGTGCGACATCCCGCCGCGGGGCCTCAAGATGTCAGCCACCTTCATAGGGAACAACACGGCCATCCAGGAGCCGTTCAAGCGCATCTCGGAGCAGTTCTCGGCCATGTTCCGGCGCAAGGCCTTCCTGCACTGGTACACGGGAGAGGGCATGGACGAGATGGAGTTCACGGAGGCCGAGAGCAACATGAACGACCTGGTGTCCGAGTACCAGCAGTACCAAGATGCCACCGCGGAGGAGCAGGGAGAGTTGGAGGACGAGGAGGAGGAGTTCGAGGAGGACTGAGAACTTCTGGAATAAAGCTGGCTTGGAGAGTGGTGTTGTGCTCACGTGTGTCTCTTTTAAAGTGTTTTTAGAAGCATGTCTACACAAATAAAAAAGCCATGTGTCTTGTGTCTGTCAGCAGGACATCAGCTCTGCTGGAGCCTGAAAAGAACAACTGCAGCCCAGCAGGTGTATAAACACTATGGCTGAGTGAGAGCCTGACGGAGAGAAGGAGGAGTGGAGAGGGCAGTGTGGGGAACCACCAGGATCTGTTTTTCCAGGGCCAAGTACAGATTGGGCAGGGAGAAGCCCAGCAATGAAGGACTTTGTTGTTGAACCAATGGATCTGGACTCTTTCCCATGATGAGAGAGCCTTGGGTAAGTAGCACAGTCCCCAGGCTTCCAGCAAGTGTGTTCAGGGACCATGGTGGGCTTCAGAGTTGTTGGACAGGTGTGCTGGGTAATAGATGCTGTGGCCTGATGGGACCAGGAAGAGGGGTGAGAACTCCTTGGCCATCCCAGAGTCTGTACATTCCCATGTTAATTCTGCAGGGATCACAAAGGTGAGTGGACTTTGGATCCCTGCTCTGTCACTTTCCAACTCTTGACCTTGGGTTTTATGATTATCCAGGAGCCAGCCAATGAGGTGCAACCCAGCACTGTTCCACAGTCTTTCCTAGTTGCCACTAGGAGGCTGAGGCTGTTGAAGACACTCCTAACTCTGTGATAGCAGGTGAGAGAACACAGGTGTGAGGCTGGTGGTTTCAGTGTGGGCCTGGAACCACCTGGGACTTCCTGGGACTTCAGGCTAGTCCCTATTCACGATGGGCTGGTTTGGTGCTTAGCCCTTTGCCATGTCTTCAGCCTACACCTTTATAATCAGAGGGAAGGGGACTTTGCTGGAACTCAGGCTTGGGAACACAGCATTCTGCAATATATGAATTCTGGAGAGGGAACAAAGAGCTGGGGACACAAAGTGGTCCTGCCACAATCAATGCACCAAGAATTTCAGAGAGTCCCTAATAGGGTAAAATAAGTGAAGGGGAAGGGCCTGTATATATCAGTGCTTCAATAAGATCCTCAAAACAATCTTAGAAGGCAGGTATTATTTTATCATGCTCAACAGGTGAAGACACCCAGGCTCAGAGAGGTTAAGTGACATGCCCAAGGTCACACAGCTAAAAAGGGGGAGGAACCAAGATTCTAATCAGGTGTTTCTGACCCTACATCTTCTCCTAATGGTGGTGTCATGCTACCTTTTGGGTGACCGCAGAAAGACACACCCTTAAGCAGGGTCTCCATGTTTTCTGGGAGGCTGGATGTTATATGAGGAACTCACATGGCTTCCTCTCTCTTCTACAGGGCAGCAGGGAAGGTGTGCGGACACATTTAGCTGTTGCTTCTGGACATTGAGATCTCAGACACAGAAGTCTCTGCATGGCTCCTTATCACATCCATAAATACCAGGAGAGCAACCACAAATGGATTCCAGGCTTGTTCTCCAGGGGCATGGAAGAAGACATCCCTGCAACCTTTCAACTCATGCTAACACTACCCCAGATTCTCCTGCTCTTACTTGGGGTGCCTCTTGCTCTACTCCTGATGTCTGACTCCTGGCTCCCAGCTGTTGTATGCTGCTTTATCCTGCTCCTTTTCCTGTGGCTCCTGGCCAGTTACCCCTGGAAGAAGCATGTGGATGCATGTCTTCACACACATCACTAACATCACCAAGTTCTACCTGAGTGTGTGTGGCTCTGGCTTCTGGGCGGCTGAGTGTGGAAAGCGGGTGGTGGTCATAGTGGGTGCTCTGCCAGTCAAGGCTCCCCCACTAGGGAAGAAGCAGTTGGAGATTTTTCGCCTGATTGTAGCCTTGGAGCACCGAGGAGAGGGGATAGCAAAAGGCCTGGTGAGGACTGTCCTCCAGTTTGCCCGGGACCAGGGCTACAGTGAAGTTGTCTTTGAGAACAGCATAGTACAGCATGAGGCCCTGGCCCTCTACCAAAGAATGGGCTTCCAGAAGACAGGTGAGAGCATTTGGTGCTTGAGCTTAAGGCTAATCCCTATTCCTACAATTCTTTTGGCATACAGCCTCCCTTCTGCTCAGGAAGGAGGGCTGTGATGCTACTTTTCTGTGTATCAGTAAGGATCCTATTAATTTGCTGTGGTAACAAACAATCCCTGATATTTAAATAATACAAATAATTAAAGTTCATTTTTTTTCATCATATTGCAGTCTGCTTGATAGTGAGGTATAGGCATTGTTGCTTCTGCTCCATCCTATCTTTCTGAAGTGCCCATGTTTCATTTTCTATTACTACAGTAAAGTTGCATAGAACATACAAAGCAGTAATGAACATATATTTCGCTAATGAGCCTGCAGAACAGCAGTCCTCTTGGGCTTGGCTGGGCAGCTTTCAGGATCACAGGATAGCTGTAGGAATGTCCGAGGCTGGCTGAATCGCCAGGATCACTGTGCATCATCCTGTTCCATCAGGCCTTGGCAAATGAGCTGAAGCAAAAACTGAGAGGTGGGAAAGCATTTCCAGGCCCCTGCAGGTGTCACATGCGGAGAAACCTGAGACTCGGGGGGAATGAAGTTGCCTTTGCAGTAAGGTGCTTCACAAGCATAGAGCAAAGGGATGGGAGGCAGCCCTGTGAGAACTGGGGCTGTGACACACTCCATTTGACTAGAACCAGGCCTGTGCAGAGGGGGAGGATGGTGGCCACCAAAACAGTGGGGGAGGTTTTCATGGCCTGGCATGGATATGGTGAGTTCTAGGACCATGGCTTGACTCCATGACATAGGCCAGCATGACTGACCCATGGAGAGTTTCTCTGTGTCCAGGAAGAGCATATAGACTGGTGAGTCCCCCAAAGCTGCCACCCTTGGGACTCAGGCTTAGATGCAGGTTCTTTCTCTAAAAACTCAGGGACTCCAGAAACTAGGATGCCTCTACTATGACCCTGTCATTCTGCAAGCCTCCAGCCAGGGGTGAGTTAGAATATGGTCTGTACTGATGTTTTCAGGACTGTCCCACTTTCCCAGCTAACATTGAGTGCCCTTGGGAATCTGGACCCTCTCGTGAGTCTTCCTAACCCAGAGGCTCATCTCTCCCTGGTCAAAGGAGTACAGGAGCCCCTCAGCCAGTAACTCATGACACTTGGGAAGTATTGGAGGAGCTACTCCAACCCTGACATTGTGTCCTGCTCACAGCTACCCCTACTGAAGGATCTGCCAGGTAACTCTCTGCCAGTCCTGCAACTGGCTTTGTCACAGGCTTATTTCACTTCCACAGAGCACTTTTGCCAGGTCATAGGATGATTCCAAATGGAGGCAGCTTGTAGGCCAGACCAGCCTCTTCTACATCTTCTATGCTGCTCCCCTTGTCTTGGCCTTTCCCCTCCATATGCTCATCTCACTCCTTCCAGCTTGCCTCCCTGTGCTGCTGGGAAAACTAAACCATCCACCTCTGTGTTCCCCGCCTGGCCCCCATCCTTACTAGGGTCCACACTAGGTGACTGCTGCCCCCTAGCTGTGGTTCCAGGTTCATACACAATGGTGGGCCCTGCAGGATACCTCCTGTAAGAAAGTACAGGCCATGCAGCCTCTGTCCTGCTGTGCAGCCACCAGCTCTCCTCACTTAGAAAGGACAGTGCTTCCAGGATCATTTCTCAGTGGGTACAGGGAAGGGTAGGACATGAGGTAGGACTATGGTGTTCTCTGCACCTGACTGTTTTATTCAATTCAGTGAAATGGTTTTATTCATGCAGAGCCCATGTAGGCAAGCCGTGATGGGGCCCAGATAACAGGATCAGAGAGGCCAAGAAAGGACCAGGATGGAAACTTTGTGATAGTGAGGTGATGGGGAGGCCTGGGCACTCTAGAATGTCATGCAAAGTCCCACCCTGACCTCTGGTGGAGGCTCCCTCAGGGGCCATGGCTTCTGCTTCTGGACACTCAGACCCAGGACAGCAGCTTGGCCTTCCCTGCCTCAGCCCCTGCACTCACTCCCCAAATACAGCCAGCTGCTGTAGTTGAGTGAACTCCTCTAAGGACCGTTTAGGGTGCTGTTCTCTTCGTCTGGCACATTCTCACACCCCTCCTCTACCCTTACCTTTGTAGGTTCAACAATAGCTCCACGTGAGGGGATGGATGACTGAGTTGGAACCTATGAGCAGGAAGGAAGCCCTTCATCCTGATTGTATTTTAGCTGTTGCTAAAATTTATCCTTTGCTCTTCAAAGGGCTGTCCTCACACAAGCTGCCTTATGCCTGTTAAAAACAGGTTTACCTGGAGCTAAAGTCACTGTGGGGATGTAAAGTTTAGACGGAGCAAAGCTGTTAATGGTGGCTTCTTAGGAATAGTGACTACTGTGCACACTGACCCAATTGTACTAACTAGGGACAGGAGTCACAGAGGTGAAGACACATAGTAGAGACTGGACTAGATTTGATCCCCAATCTGTTTGATTTTAAAATAAAAAAAAATTTTTTTGTCCAATTAACAAGTCTTCCCTCAGTGTTTATCTTGGTTGTGTGGAGACTGAGGCATAGAAAATTTAGATCCTACCTTCAGAATATAAAATTGCAAATACAAATAGGATTTCTTGGAAGGGCACATACAAGGGCCCTTGAAGCTTAAGCTTTGTAGCTTCACAGTAAATGTGCTGTTCCCATTTTTACCCTTACTGGGTTACACAAGCTACTTGTTTCTTGTTTAGTCATTCAACACACATCAACTGAGCTCCTACTAGGAGTCAGGCTTGTCTGGGTACTTAATAACATTAGTGATACCAGGCCCCAGTGGGTGGCTCATGCCTGTAATCCTAGCCACTTAGGAGGCAGCAATTGGAATCAAGATTCAAGGCCAGTCCAGGAAATAGCTCATGAGACCCTATCTTGAAAATACCCAACTTAAAAAAGGACTGGCAGAGTGGCTCAAGTGGTAGAGTTCCTGCCTAGCAAGCATGAGGCCCTGAGTTCAAACTCCAGTACTGCCAAAATAAAGAAGAAAAGAAAACATTAGTGATATATCAAGCCAAAGAGATTGGATCCCTGCTGGTAGAGAATAAGAACAAAAAGGTATCTACATCATTTTGAGCATGTTGGAAGGTGTCGGTAAGGGAAGGGATGGGCAGGGGCCAGAGTGAACTGAATTCTTCTTAGGGTGGTGTGGGTAGGACTGGCAGAGAAAGAGGCCTGGCATAAGGCTGTGTTAGGAACCAGTCCCCCTTGAGAGGGCAACCCCTGACCTCCTTGCCAGGTAGGCCCCCAGCGACCATGTGACACAACACCTCAGCTTCTCCTCACTCAGTGTCCATCCAGACACAGGTAGGATTCTCTGCTGTGAACAATATCCTCCTTCAGCCAGCCCTGGCTAATCAGCCCTCTCTATGACTACAAGACGGAGGCCAAGGCTCCCCAGAGGCTGCTCATCTGGGACTCATCTTTGCCCTGGACTACCAAGCCCATGGCCTTTAGGATAATCCATGAGCCAGACCAACTCTTCCTGTGAAGACCCTGCAGGATTCCCTCCCTGGATGAATTCCAGGTGAGCAGCCTCTGGGGAGAATGGTCTTCCCTCCATAGTGGGCCCACACCTGCCATGGCCCAAGAAGCCTTGGCCCTGACTTGCAGTCACACAGGAGCTGAGCAGCCAGGGCTGGCTGAAGAAGGACACTGGCCTCAACAGGGGCTCCCATCTGCTGTCTGGACACTGAGTGAGGAGAAGCTGAGATGCTGTGTTATGTGGGTCTAAGAGTTGAGGCAGTGTAGGGGGACCTCCCTAGTAAAGAGGTCAGGGGTTGGGAAACAAGTGTGTCCAAGTTTAGGCCAGCCAGGCCTGGGAGCCCAGAGGCAGGAGCAGCTCCTGTCCAGGGGGCCCACTGATAATTCCAATTACAAGTGGTCACACAAACAGCTTTGGCTGAGCTCAGGCCTTTCTTCTTTGAGGGGACCCCAGGTGTGTCCCTGGAAACACCTGCCGAGCTAAATAGAGGAAGAAGGAAATCAAGTAACATGCAGTACGGATAGGTTGGCAGGTAAACCTGCACACTGCTCCACAGGGCACTCTCTTGTGGTGTTCCCCAGTGAGGCCTCAACATTGCATTAGTCCTCAGCCTGGCCAGTGCCTTTGTCTTGTTCCAGAACTGGGCTTTACTGTGAACGCCTGTGTAAGTGTGAAGTCAGAAACTTGATACCAAGGTATCAGTCACAAGTATTGGAGACAGGGCAGTAGCCATAAGCCCAAGGCTTCCTGGGATCCCAGCATTAGTATTATTGCATCCCCATCCCCCCTGGTAACTAAGAGAGGGCTCCATCTTCTTCCTCCACATTCACATTCACTTTTACCCCACCACCACCACTCAGGGGACTCCATGTCCTCAGGCAGTCCCACAGATTGTCTGCAAAGCAACAGTGCCCTCTGGAGGTGCAGTCCCCAGGGCTGGGTTGCTCTCTGGGTGGCCTAAATGCCCAAGATCCCTTTCTGGTACACAAACCCAAGTAGTCCGCCCAGAACTGCTCTGGTGCAGAAGGGGCAGAGTGGCCTTGAGCAATGGGAACTGACACTTACCCCGGGCTAACAGAGTGAAAATGCTCAGAATTCCTCTTTCCAGGCATTATGGGGTCCCTGAATCATCTAAGAGCTTCTGCTGTGGCTGAACTGGATTTCAGAAGGGCACAGAATGGGGGAGTGTTTGTTCTAACCTTGCTCCCTTCTGGGGGAGCCCCCAAAGTCCTGTAGCCTTGGAGAAATAGAATTAAAAGTAAAATATCCTTCCAATCCAGAAGGCTTCTCTGCAGGGTTAGGAAGAAAAGAACACTTTCATTGTTGAACAAGTACTAACACAAGAACACAATCTGCCAGGAGGTAGGAAAGACAAGGAAATGTCATCCTGTAACACAGCCAGTGAATACTCCATCTACACTATAATAATAATCAGTCCTCACCAGCACCAGAGTCAAATTGCACTCAGTGGAGCACATGCCTATCTCTATTTGTCAAGAGCCTTAGGCAAAGCAAAGGGGATCCATCTTCTGACAGTTGGTAGATTTGCCTCTCAAGAGCCCATGTTAGGCTCCCCAGTTCCCCAAAGTGTGGGAGGTACAGGACCACTT